ATGAATTCGAAATATTTGCACCTTATTTTGGTTTTAAAACTTTTTTTTCAGCACACTTAAATTTATAAAATGCATTGTTTATTAAAATTGCGGGCAATTTAAAAACAAATTTACGTCAGTAAATGCTCAACTTAAAAAAAAATGTAGCTCTTAATTTTAGCTACTTTTAGTATTTTTTAGCTCTTTTTAGAAATGTTTTTCTGGCAACACTGCTGATTTGACGTCATAATAGTGAGAGAATGAGAGAGTAAAGAATAATTTTGAAAAAAAGAGGAAGAAGCGAACATGTGCAAAATAGCCTTCCTCCTTTGTAAAGGGGAATAAACATAGTCGATTAGCTGACATTAGCTGACAACTCAGTTTTCATTGTACGACATATTATTAGAAAATGGAGACGTGGGGTAATATGCCTTGCTCGAGACTAAATCCTTATGGTCTGATCATGGCAACTTAACGTAATTTACAGCTCTCTTAAAAATGGGTGTTGCTTATAATTGAACAGCCGAAACTTAACGTAACTTAATGCCACGTCGAAATCTGTTTCATTTTGATTCTCTATTGTTCTACGTTCCATTAAGTTAAGTTAAGTTGCCATAATCAGGCTTTTAGTCTGTTCCAATAGCAGTCCGGTTTACAGGATTTAGTCAGAACTTACAGGAAGTTGTTCCTATTGACATAAAACCAGTGATCGGACTTAAAAAGAATTTGTGTGGTAGAATCTGGAAAAAATGTGGTAGATTTCAAAAAAAATGTGGTAGATCTCAGGTCTTGGATCAAACATTGTACAAAAATTTAAAAAATTCTGCAAGGTTTCACCTAAATTGCAAACCTTTTATTTATAATCTAAAAAAATAAATTAAGTTTAGTATAATAAAGTGCAAGATTCAAGTTACTAAAAATTGCTTTGAATTTTGGCAATTTTTTTCCTTGACAGTGTGAAGCACTTCCTTCCATATCAAGATATTTTTCGAACATATTCTGCCTTATCCTGAGTTTCGCCCGAAAAAAAATTTCATCCGAAAATTTTTATTCCGCCTATAGTAAACACATGGAAACCATAAGTGAAAATTTAACCGCTTCGGGGAAAAAAAAACTCATGATAAGGCTGATTTTGAAAGATTTCTGCGACCTTGCGGAGTGCTGCCAGCTTTTCTTTTTATCACATCACGATGTAGAGAACAAATGTGGCACGTTCCAGAAACCTCTACTTGGGATTTGCCGATTTTGACAATTCTCAAGTAAAAGTAAACAACGCTTTAGAAACTTTAGATGCACTGAAAGTTGCTAATACTTTCACAAAAATTGCCGTTTTTTAACATTTTCGCTATTAATTCTTTTTATAAATCATAAATTTTTCAAACACAATAAAACCACGTTTCCTGTCGAAAAATTGAATATTGAGAAAATTTACTATTTGACAGGCTAACCTAATATTCGCGGCTTGCGTTTTAGTACGCACGCCTTCGAATTTGTTTTTTGCGTCACCCGAAATTGGCTTGCGTGCGTTTGTATTTGATTTCATTGAGCGAAACGTCAAATAAAAATGTCACGCAGAACAAAAATTGTAAATTGAGTTAGCTTCGTACGCACGCCGTTCAATTTCGGTTGGTCTCATACAAGTATGTGCATGAGAAAGTTTTGACAGTAAATTGGCGGCGTGCGTGAATATTAGTTTAGCCTGTTACAGTTTATTTTATCCTCCTATTCTGCCTGTTGTTAGTGTTTAGTGTTGGACAATTTTTGCTCTTAAAATTAAGAAAACTCAAAAACGCGAATATGTGGTAGATTTCAGACCTTGTGTGGTAGATGCCCAAAAACGTGGCAGATCTACCACAATGCGGTAGAAGTCCGATAACTGTTTGACAGTTCCACAGGTTTTAGTCCGAAGTTCAAAGGAACAGACTACCTGTATCTTCTGACTAGGAATAGTTGCTCAATTACTCTCTCAAAAGTGTTCCCCTAGGTCGGTGTTATGCAGACAAACTTTTGTTCGGCTAATTAAATGGCGGCTGCTTAGTTTGCTTTGAGGTGGTTACGCCGGGTTTGGCATAAGGTTACACATTGGATTTGGGCTTTTATGCTTTATTGCCACGACGAAATGAAAATTGCAATGTACGTATCGTGCAAAAATTAATATTTTTTATAATATTGTATAGGCAAAAAACAGCATAAATTTAGTTCTCCGTCTTTTAGTATCACTGCATAATTGTGTATAACAACACTAATTTTACCGCAGTTTGGCCCCAGTTTGGGCCAACAAAATTAGTTTGCTGTGAGAGTCGCCAAACTCGCTCTCGCGGAGTTTGTTGCAACAACAAAAGCACGCAGCTTGCCAAACAAAATTTCTGCATAACACCTACCTTCCAGGTTTTATGCCTATAGGAACGACTTCCTGTAAGTTCTGACTAAATCCTGTAAACCGGACTACTATTGTAACTGACTAAATGAAATAATAAGGCTTAAAAGGCCTTTGCATGGTTCAACTAACGTTAAATGCAAAAAATTGCCATCCCTGTTTACTTTGGTCGATATTTTATTGAACGCAAATTGTTTATAAAATAAAATGTGTATGTGTGTAAATTTTTATGTGTGTATTTTGTGTATACCAAATGTAAACAAACGCAGGATTCCGGTAAAAAAGGTGAAAGTCTAAAAGTTGGCTGATGATAAAAACTAAGAAACTACTTTGGATAATTGTCAAAAATGCATTTTCTCTCAAACCGTGGTTGGTATTGGTATCCATTGCGATAGAGTATATCTAGATAGAGTTCTGCCCTCTTGCAGGATTTGAACTTCACTTTTTTTTTTAATGGTTGTGAATCAAGGAAAACTAATAAAATCGCTAATAACTGTTCTAATTGGTTTTCATCATTCATACTAATGTTAATTTGTAGTTGGGAAATAACAGTCAGATTTGGCTCCTGATTTATTTATTAAATACATATTTACATGTGGTATCTAATCTGTAATGGCCAAAGAGTACCTTTTAAAAATAAAGAACCAAAACTGGTTTAAAACTGAAGTGATTATGAGTTATGTTGCTACAAATTCATTTGTATCATGATATACATGCATCTTTTTTTATTTCAGACTCATGTGTGTGTGGAGCAAACAGCCATCGATTTTTTAAACAACGGTATTAACGTTTATATTGTGGCCGACTGTTGTACCTCGCGCTTAAACCAAGATCGTGATCTGGCTTTGAATCGTTTGCGAGATGCCGGATGTGTGATTACAACAAGTGAGAGTATAATTTTTAATTTGCTTCGTGATAAAAATAATCCAAAATTCGATACAATTCGGAAACTAGTCAATCCTCCTTCCGTGGATATGCAATTGTCAAAATCTGGATCGTCTGGTTCTACTACTTCTAAATTATAATTGTTTTAAGAAAGTATGTATGTATGTATGTATATGGAAATATTGATTTGTTTACATATAAATACTTGTATGTATATGTATACTAAATACATATATGAAGCGTGTGTATATTTTAATAGAATAAATTGTAAAAATTAAGCATACATAGGCACATATTATATTTAAAAAAAATTGTTGGAATAAATTTCATATACAAGGGGCACTAAGTAATTCTTTAGATTTCAGACGAGGACGTTGTGCTCTAATATTTGAGTGCACTACGCTTTTAACCCTTACGGTACATCTTTTTAGATTCGGGCTTTAAAAATCGGATTTTGTTATTAAATGGCCCTTAATAGTTAATATAATAAGATTCAATTTACTTTTTTCCAAAATCTGATTCTAAAAATGTTTTTTTAGAATGATGCCATGCGGCATCATTTGTACTAACTGGTGTAAAAAATAGATTTTTTGAATACGGTATTTTGTTTTATTAAAATTCCTTTAATTCGCTTTAAAAAAAAAACATTTCAAAAACTCAATAAAATAAGTTGGAACATGCATAGATTTAATAATTCATTTAAAAATAAACAGAAAATATACATAGATTCTCCAAAATTCCTGCAGCAAATATGAAGTTAAATCCTGTAAAATAAAAATATCATTAAATTTATATGGATGTACATATATATTTGGAAACAAACAAAATTGTGTACGTATAGTAATTTATTATTCAGCCCTATTCTGCATTTCGACTCGAATCGAAATTTTCTCCGTTTGGCAACTTTGGTATTCTGCGTTCCGTTTCCTATCGATCAATCTTCGAAACTTACGATTATACCTATTCTACATTTCGATCGTAGTTCCGTGTTTCTAAGTTGCAAATTTGTTGACGGAGAACGTTTCAATTGTTATTTTCGTGGGTTTAAATAATAAAATTTTATAAAAAGTTTAAGTAAAATATACTGTGCATGATTGTAAAAGTCATAATAAATGAATTTTCTCGATTTCTGTGTTTTCGCGAGCGGTAATACGGGCAATACGAAAAATTGGCTCAAATAATGGCAACCAAAAGGGATGTCGACGTTTTCAAAGTGGAAGTCCAGGCGTTTTTGTTTACATTATCTATAAATAAGACTGTGAAATGCACTGAATGCAATTTATTCTTTTTATATAAAATTAATAGATTTATGCACATAGATACATATGTACATACATAAAATGTGAAGTTACATAAAAAAGATGCTTTTATTATTGCACTCGTTTTTACTAAAAGAGGTGCGTATGTTGCCTCGAATTCGATTTGCTATGGAAAGATAAGCTTTGTTCTTCCCCTCCTCCTGACGGCTTACAAAATGGGATTCATTTGCGTTCAAATCTTCCACTGTAGTAAATGCAAATTTTGTGGAGTGCTCAAACAACGTTTATAATTTCACTGACTTTTTGTTTTTATATTTATCTGCAACATTGCCTCTTTTATTTGCAGTGTGAAATTCGCGGCCCCGGATTTGTTTAAAATCGGCTTTTACGTACGATTATGGATGATAACAATACAGCCAAATTTTTGTATGAGACTGTCGTACAATTTCCGAGCACGTTGTTTCGCCAACAAATTTTGCTTACCGTTGCGATTAGGTGCTGCATTCACTTTGTAAGAACGTAGTCCTGCTGTTTTGCATACTTTTTGTATATACGAAGACGACATGTTTAATTTTTTGCCGACATCTCTTACCGAAAGTCCAGGATTTTTCTTAAAAGCAGAATACACTTCCTTTGCCTTAATTTCGCAAGCAAATCCTTTTTTTCTGCCACTACCAGGGTCCCTTTTTAAAGATAAACATTCATTGTATTTTTTAAGCACATAAGTAACGGTAGACTTTGGAAATTTTAGCTTTTTTGCGATGTCGTTATGGAACATGCTGGGATTTTCCAGCTTTTTGCGCAATATTAACTCGCGATCGATTTCTTTCTTGGTCCTCGTTTCTACACTGATTTTTGTTACTAAAAAGAAATGATGCAGTAAGTTGGAAAATGCTTCAAGCTTTTTAAGTGTCTACCGATTTTTATTTTAATGTTATGATTAACCGAGCTATGCTTGGTTATGTGTGACCAGTTTTTTTTGTGTACATTCTTTATATACATATCTCCATACGAAGTTCCGGTACTGTACCATGAATACTTTCAGAGATATGCAGTATAAAAATTCGATTTATATGGGAGGTTCCACGCCCCCCTTTCCAACAGCTGCCCTCTTTCTTCATGAGTATGCGATTGATTTCGTATATTATCTCCATACCAAGTTCCAGAACTCTACCATGAACACTTCCAAAGATAGGCAGTATGAAAAATTCGGTTTGTATGGAAGATTCCACGCCCCCTTTTCCAATAGTTCCAATTTTTCTCCAAGAGTATGCGATTTATTTCGTACATCTCCATACAAAACCCTAGAACCCTACCAAAAAATTTCCAGAGATAAGCAGTATGAAAAAATCCGTTTGTATGGGAGATGTCACACCCCGTTTTTACTATAGCTAAAAATTTTCTCCAAGGGTATGCGATTGATTTCGTATATCTCCATACCAATTTCTAAAACTCTACCATGCACACTTTCAGAGATATGTAGCAGGAGAAATTCGGTTTGTATGGGAAGTGCCACGCCCCCTTTACATTTAGTTTTTTTTCAGCCTAAAACCATCCTTGGGACACGTGCGGCAGGTGGCAGTTTCAAAAAAATCGGTTCAGCCGCTCTCGAGCCTTGCGAAAACTAACAAACGGCTTTCTAAATATATATTAGTTGAGATATATTATATATTATAATTATATTTTGACAGTATCCGTTGTTTCTGATTGGCGCAAAAAAATCTTGCCTAGTGACGAATTCGCCCCTTGATATGGTCGTTACTTAAAGCTATTTATATTCTAAATTGCATGAAAACTGGAAAACAGGAATCTATAAGCTTATCCAGGCTAAAAGCTACCTACGTACCGAATTTTAAGCAAATCGGACCGTAAATACGATTTTTTCGAATAGATCAGTCCCTGGTCCACTTCTCGGGAAAATTGACCATATATCCTAATATATGCTAAAAAACTACTTAATACCGAATTTTAAGCAAATCGGACCATAAATACGATTTTTTGGAATAGATCGGTCCCTGTTCCACTACTCGGAAAAAATTTATCACTTATGCTAATACATGCTAAAAGCTACCTGCGCACTGAATTTTAAGCAAATCGGACCGTAAATTCGCTTTTTTCGAATAGATCGGTCCCTGGACCACTTCCCGAAAAAAATGGGTCATATATGCTAAAAAGCTACTTACGTACTAAATTTTAAGAAAATCAGACTATAATAAGATTTTTTCGAATAGACCGGTCCCTGGTCCACCTACCCGAAAAAAGTTAAATTTGTTTAGCCTAAAACATGGTGGTTACCGAAAGCTATTTGTACACAAAATTTCATGAAAATCGGACCAGCCGTTCGCGAGATTACCTGTTACAAAAGAAGGGACTTCTCTTTATATAATTAGTATAGATTAGTATAGATAGTATAGATAACCAACGATATGTACATATATATTTGTAAGATTTACACCTAATTTCAAATTTAGCTTTTCTCGACGTTTGGATGAAATCCGGTGGAATCAGCTGTATATGTAACGCGTATTTTCTTGCCATTTTCGCCTGGAAGAAAGTATTCTCCCTGAATTCCATTTACATCGCCTTGTACCTTAGCTTCCACTCCATTCGATGCTTCATAGCCATAGTTAAAGTGGCCTTGGTCGTCGATTTTTCGGTAATCAGATCTTAATTCTGCGTGAACATCTTCCTCATTTGCGATTGCAACCATAACGAGAGCAAAAAGCAGAATCTGTAAGGCAAACATGCGTTTCTTTCAATGTCAAAAGCATTACAAAATTCAAAGTGCACTGTAGACTGTATCTGTAGACTTTGGGAAAACATATGTATACATGTATGTATGTATTTAAATGTGTGTCCAAGCTACAGTTGAAAAACTCAACTTGGCAAAAATGTAATATTGTCCAAAATGCATAAGTACAGAAACCTTTTAATTCAGATGCTTTCTTCTAGTTTGTCACCAGACCAAAAAGTACTTAATCAAATTATACTTACAATCTTCAATATTTTAAAATTAGATGTGACTCTGTTTGCCTTACTAAAACAACTGAAAATACATATATTACTGCTTAATATGTATAACACCATATTTCGTTTCATTTTATGACTTAAGTTGATTATTTAATAAAATCAAAGCACAAAGAACTGGTTTTAAGACAATCAAAAAAGTGTGCACATATTCTAAGATATTGGTTTCTAATGAAGTATAGTTGTCTTCGGATACAAGAAACATAAATAGATTGGCGCTCACACAATTAGGGGGTTCGCAAGACGTGTTAACCGTCTTAAAATCTTAAGCTTAACATTTTTTATATAAAATAATGGTTAAAATGTTTTCAGGGGGAAGGGGGCTAATTACATATTTTTTACAAGTTTGAAAACATTGCGATGTAGTTAGAAATCCTCTAAAACCATTTTAATCATTATTTTACATGAAAAAATGTTAAGCTTAAGATTTTACGACGGTTAACACCAGTGTTGGCAGTTTATCCGTTTCCCGGCTACATTTATCCGGTTTGGTTTGGCCGGCAGCCGATTCGTTAGTCATCTGGCAAAAAAAATAGCCGTTTTAGCCGATTTTGCTAAAGGCCTTATTTTCTTAAAATTCAAATACATAAGTTTCCATTTTTACAAATTTTGCGACCAGAATATATTAGAAATGGCTAGCCTTATATCTGCACGCCAACGCAAATTTAATTTAAAACACAACACCCGCGAAGAGAATTTCGGCAAAAGACTCACTTCTGGTTGTCCAAAACCTTTATTTACATAGTACATAAATTCTTATTCTAAATACATAAATTATCACTTATCCTACATACATATTAGGGATGTTTCGAATGCCGAATTTTCGGAATGCGAATGTGTGAATGCGAATGCTAATGTTAGGAATAACATTAAAAAAGCTATAATCAACTTAAGTCATCGTTTTTATTACTTAAAAATTTTTGTAAATTATTAGCATATATGTAATTCTTCTATATTGGCAGTATCTACAAGTGCACTCAGCAAACATTACAGTACAGACATACAAAAAAAGAAAACGAAATCGTATGTAAACAAGTAATTTTTTGCAAAAAAAAAACCGACTTAAAAAATATATATGTATATATATATTTCATGATCCACTGATCGGATCTAAACCAGTGATGAAATTGATGGTACAATTGCACTTTTTTGGTACATTTTGAATCCCAAAAGTACATTGGTAGTACAATTTGGTACTACATCGACATTTTTGATACAATTTTGTCAAAATACAGCATTACGACATACCACTTGTGGATAAAAATACAGTCTCTTTTTCCTTCTTTATACAAATAAATGCGTGGTGTTTCTTAAAAACGAAAAACTTCTTAAATTCATCAAACAGTTGCTGCTATAATATAAGCAGCTGTTTCTTTGCAAAATTTTTGTGTTACTTGCACTTAATAAACATACTTGTATGGTTTTGTTGATTAACTTGAATTATTGATTTGTAATGGAAACGTAGGGTTTTGATGGCCTTTTTAAACTGTGCATATGTACCAGTACATATAACGTTACGCATCCAAGTCCACAGAAGAAAATTTTCCAGATTTTTGGTGCAGTACATACTGGCCGAACCAAAAAATTATTCAAACTAAAGCAGAGTGATTAATTAATGCTGATAAAGAAAATGGTATTTAATATTAACAAGTAAGGCAAAATATTCCTGTTTTTTATGCAAAAAACAATAAAAATAAGATAATTACCAATGCCTATTTATTGCTTCAGGGGTTTAAATGATTTCCTTGATTTTATATTTTCGTGAAACTAGACTTTTAGAAAAAAAAAAAGTGAAATATATCCAGAAGGTCCCTTTAAGGTGGAAAAGGATTTTTTTTTTAAACCGCTTGTTTCTCCAAAAGTGTTCAAATGGCTTATATGGGAAGTTGTTATAGAAGAAAGATTAAACAAAAAACCTGCCTCCCAAGAAAAACGTTACGTTAATGTCATGAAGAAGGTGGAAAAAACTTCCAACATTAGCTTATCTGATAAATGAGTTTAACAGTAATATGCAAATATTACATTCTGAAAAATATTTTACAAAAATGCAAAAATAAGAACAAAAATTAATTTTTGAAGAGCCTGAAAGCAGTTTCGTATTCACGTCAGTAAACGATTTTAGAGGATAAAGTTATCAGTCTTAAAAAAATATATAAAATACCTGCCATGTACATACACTTTGTTTTTCAAATTACCCATATACATATGTATGTATGGTTTTTTAAATTTTGGTACTTTTTTGGCTGATTTAGTACAATCTTTGTGTCCATTGGATACAAAAAAATAAAAACTCATCATCCCTGATCTAAACCTGATTAGACACTACCTTTCCGATGCAAAAAGAATTATCGAAATCGGTTGACGTGGTCCAAAGTTATGCGGTAACATACATAAAAAAACAAATACTCCGAAAAGAGGGGATAAATTAAATAATATATTTAGCTTCACATGCGTATTTCTACAAATTTTAGCTAAAAAACTTGCAATTCTAATAAAAATGTGTTGATTTTTTTTTTACTTTTTGCACAAAGTTTAGAAGTTGAATTTATATAATTTTTTTATATAATCAGCTCTAGTTTTATAAAAAAATAGCGAAAAAACCCAAACGAAAAACATTGCGAATATTATATGAAGATCACTACAATTTTGAGTGAGTCTTTATAGTTGTTTATCCGTTTTTAACTGGTTAGTCAGTAAATTTGTACTCAGCGAAAAATGGAAATATATATTTGAATTAAACATTCCAAAATAACAAAGTGCTTATCATTTTACAAATTTTCAAAACGATTTTTTAATTTCCAGGTAGCTTTAAAATACAATTTTAATACTTCATCATAAAGTTTCACTTTGTATAAGTAAACATCGTCAACAAAGGGGCTTAAGCACCCCAGAGTAAAATAATCCCTTTCAAATTTTTTTTCAAACCCTACTGAGGATACGTCAAACTCGCCTGAATGTATTCGTCATACATGATTCAATAACACAAGGTTGGATAACCTGGCAGTTGTCTCGCTTCCGCATTCTGCCTTAGCCTGTGTTGCTTTCTTTTTTTTATTTATAGAAACTACTACTAAAAGACAAGGAGAAATATTGTCTTCGTATAAAAAGTTCAACAGGCAACACTGCCGATAGTTTCATCGATTGTTTCGTGGAAATTGATTTTCTTATTACGAAAATTCAAGTAAACATGCCAAAAAATCAAAAATAATGGAGCTATTTTGAATTAAAACAATAAATTAACTTATTTCTTTGAAGAGTATCGGAGTTATTCAAAAACCTGTGTTTTGCAGCAAGTGCAGCCGTTACCAATCCTGTGTATCCGTCCACGTTTCGCTGGTGCAGTCCACTGGAAATTACAGCTGCACCGATTTATTTGGTGAAGTGCAGCCGTTACATACTTACAAGTAAGTATACCACCCCATAAAAGTGAAAAAGTAAAACTATGTTCACATATCAATATTATCTCAATCAAAGCTCGTTTTTTAATCACCCCGTTAACACAGGCAAATCTCAGATTATTAGACGTCAAATTTGTTGTGCTTGTTATTCTCGCATCTCAAGGAAAATTTATGTTTCTTCTCTGTGCCACCGTGATCACGTTTTTCTGCTATAATAAGCAATATAAATATATTTTAACTTAACATTTTATTAAAAATACCTTTACAAACCTCTTTTACTTGCTAGCGTACATTTTTGTTTACTTTTACATTTGGCATTTCTCCTCTCTTTCGCAAAAACAATCGATAAAACTAGGATGGACACCGAAAAGTTATCGGTTAAATCTGAAATTATTTTATAATTACAGATTAACAAGGGACGAATTTTATATGGCTAATCTCTTGTTATAATTACAGATTAGGGTGTTAAGCTCGAAAATGAGGATAATCTACTTATATGTGAACCTAGTATAAATGTCAATAAAGTTTTTTTCTTGTGCAGATCAGGATCACTTTGTGTCCGTCCACCAAATGTAATTCAATTTAAGATATTGAACATGTAATTTTTAAATGCAACAAATATAATAATTTTTTGAAAATATTAATTTAT